CAAATTATAATAAATCACTTACTATTTAGTTTGGGAAGGTATTTTCTAAAGTTATAGTGCATATGAATATAACTAATAGTTGTGAATTCCAAGCTGTGACAATAAAGCAAAGAAACCACATTGTGATTGAGTCAGTAATCTTTAGATGTCTATCTAGTCTTCCCATCCAGTCCATAAATTCTAAGTATAATCCTGGTACTCACTCTCAAGTTTATGTTAAATATTAACCTATCTAAAAAACACTCTTTCTCTTACTTCTTTTCATTATTTATATGTTGCTTTGTTTAAAGGAAGCACACAAAAATGCCCTGTTAAAGGGATTCTGTTTGGCTGCAGCCTGCAAGAGGGAAAAACACAAAGCACATTTTACTGAAAATGATTTTCAGAAGTCAGAACTATGACATGAAGCCAAGCAGGGCACTCTAGGACTGAATTTGCTGTGCTTCCTTCATATGCTGCTTGCTCTCTTTCTTTTCTGGTGGCTGTGACTCACACAGGTCATGGAGACTATCATTCCCTAAGAGAAAAATAACTCCGATATTCATCTTTATCTATTAAGTTTATCTGTCCCAATTCTGTGTTCTGTGGATGCTGACTTTCGGTCACTGATGGTGATACACATGGACATTTATCAACAACTTTCAGATTCTCGGATCTTTGACAAGTCTTATTATTGAGAGTCAAACTAGTAGGATGTGAGTTATAAATGCTGGTTATCCAATTACCTACTCAAAATATCCTACATGAATATTCCATTAAACATGCATAGGAAAAAAATGGTCATTCCTGCTGACCTGCAGCTCTTTGCTCTTCTGTATTCACCAGAAAATTTCCTACTCCTTCCTTATGTCCAAGTTAAATACTAGTGTACAACCTGGAAACCTGTAAATCATCTGACATTTCTCTCGGTCCCCCAAGCCTTTCTTATTCAATTATCACTAAATCATATGGACTATACCTCTCTTCTGCCTCTGCTTTATATTCCCACTGCCACTGGGAACATAAACATTTACAAAATGGCTTTTATTTAAAAGAAAACCGCCAACTATTAATGTTATTTCTTCATGAAAAAAATTAAGCAAAACAAATGAAAAAGGCATAACAAAGGCCAACATATTAAAATGAGTAACTGAGATTCCTAACGTTATTTATTTCACCACGGATGGGTGAAAACCTTATAATACACTGATAACTGGTCCAAGGATGTGTGACAAGCAAACTATAGTTGACTACTGCAAAAGCTTCCTTTGTCTCCAGTTTCTTTACATGGTAACTTTCCATTATTCCCAACAAACTAGAAGCCACAGGCCAAATCCAATATGCCTTATGGCTTTGTAAATAAAGTTTTATAGGAGCTCAGTCATGTCTGTTTGCTCACATCATCATGGTGGCTTTCACTCTACAACAGCAGACAACAGCAGGGTAAGTAGATATGACAGAGACCACATAGTCTCAAATATTTCCCACCTGGTCCTTTACAGAAAAAGCTTGCTAACCTGTTTTACACCATAACCAGAATGCCTTAATACTCAAATTTAATCTTGTGACTCCCCTGCTCAAATGTCTCCAATGAGTCTCTGCAGCAAACACTGTTGGCTCCCTACCAGTAGCCATTATTCTTTCTTGCAGAAGAAACACAGTCTATTGGGATATTTATTATTTCAATCCCCCTCCTCAGCCTCAGAAAGAGAAAAGTTTATTCTAAGCTAATCACATATTTGCCTTCCCAGTCCCTGGCTTGGGAAAGAGCATGTAGTGTGACCCAGCCAATGAAATGTTACAGGAAGCCCCTTGCATGCTCCTAAGTTTTCTCCCTGTTTAAAAGACACATGCGAAGAAAAGCAGCCTTTGCGATGTTGTGCTGTGAGAACAAGATGTTTGGAGCTGTTGCGGATTAGCCAACCATGAAAGGAGACATGAATAAAACACGGCCAACAGCACAGCTGAAAGAGGGTAAAGTGAGATCCTTAGGAAATCACTGAACAAACAAAACAACTCTGGTTCCTACTGTTTTGGCCCCTGTTCATCTAGTATTTGCAGTCCAAAGCATTCTACCGGGTCAATTTCCCATGGCCCACAGGGTAAGACCTACTCATTTCTGTAGTATTAAAAAGTCTATCACAAACTTGCCTTAGCTAAGTATTCACCACATTCCCAACCTCTCATATCTCACATTTTTGGTGCTAGCAAAAGTGAACTCCTCAGAAACCCTGCCATGCTCACTCAAACATCTTGTCTTCTGCACTTGCTGCTCTTCCTCCCAAACAGGCAATCTCGTTAGATGTTCCTTCTGGCAAACACACAATCTCACTACATGTTCCTCCTGCCAAATATCATTCTTCTGCTTCTTTTCCTGAAAAATTGTTCTCACTCTGCATGCTTACCTTAAATCATAACTCCTTTCTTTTTAAAGCTTTCATTCCTCATCACATATGTCTGGCACATAATCAGTACAGCATATAATAAATCATAATTATAGGCTTCCAGTGGGCATCTAGCACACAGTAAGCACTGATTAATGTAGCAAAGTAAAAAAAAAAAAATGACAATGATAATAACAAGCTCCTATCTGTATTTTTAATAAGTTGTGTTCTGTAGGATTAGAAAAATGCTTAGTATCTAAAATACATTTGATAGTTATTTGTTAAGTGGACAAGTGAAAACATAAATAGAAATGTTTTCGTTGTAAATTCTGTTGAAAAAGCACAGAAATGGATTGGAGACAGCTCTATTGTGAGCACCTTAAAGATCAAAACTACACCTATTTCATCTTTGTCTCCTGCAACTTACAAAACCTAACTTACAGAAACTCTTTGATAAATAGATGGCTAAATTAAAGGTGTCCTCATACTGTTTGGATTATACAAAGTATTAAGTGTCCACAACCAGGTAGCATACTAGCATTTTTGTTAGTGTGAAATATTTTTCTACTTTTATTATAATCTACTGAGCCTAGAGTTGGGCAATTTGTATATTTATTATGATAATCTTTAGGCAAATGGTAGCAGAGCCTCTTTTTCTAACAAAATTACTGTTATCACCACAATTAACCAGCAGGTAGAAGAACACATTTTGTTCCAACAAAGTAACTGTATCTGTTTCCAACTTCAAATTAGGAGGAATGAAGTCAGTAATAGTGAGACTTTCTTGGGACAAACATATGTAACATGACTTGTGCTTCACTGTTCTTTCATCATCAAAAATTCCTTACTTTTACTTTTTTATCTATGGTAGGACCACCCAGAGCAGGGGTCCACAACTCCCAGGCCACAGACTACCAGTCCATGGACTATTATGAACCACACCACACAGGAGGAGGTGAGCAGCAGGCAAACCAGGGAAGCTTTGCCTGTACTTACAGTCATACACCATGGCTCATATTACTGCCTGAACTCTGCCTCCAGTCAGATCAGTGATAGCATTAGATACTCACTGGAGCATGAACCCTGTTGTGAACTGCCCATCTGAGGGATCTAGGCTGTGTGCTTCATATGAGAATCTAATGGCTGATGATCTGTCACTTTCTCACATTGTTCTGCCCCCACATGAGACCATCTAGTTGCAGAAAAATAAGCTCAGAGCTTCCACAGATTCTACATGATGGTAAGTTGTATAATTATTTCATTATATATTACAATGTAATCTAATATAAATAAAGTAGCACAATAAATGTAACATGATTGAATAATCCTGAAACCATCCCCACCTTCCCCCAGCCCATGGAAAGATTGTCTTCCACAAAACCGGTCCCTGGTGCCACAAAGTTTGTGGACAACTGACCTAAAGTAATTCACTATCACAAGTGTTACCTGGATTGCTGTTTTCAGAAAAGATTTTTAGCATCTGTTTTACTTTGTTGTCAGAAAGTAATTGGCAAGTTCTATGTATAAAAATGTAATAAACCAAATTACTATTTTAATATTGACATAAAAAATACCTACCAAATGTAAAATTCTTAGAGTATTTCGAACAATATCATAATATCAGAACTTAACAGTATTATCCCATCCACTTACGAGTACATTCTACCAACTTCCCTTTAAGTTTCTAATTAAAGTAGAAAAAAAAATAAGGTGAAATGCTCATAAATCGAGGGCACTGTGACCCAGTAAATTAGCTTGTATTAGCATGACATAATAGAAAGTGTCCCAACTCTGCTTAAGTCCTGGCTCCATAATGAACAGCTATTTGTTCTTGGACAACTTGCTTCTCTTAGGCTCAATGTCTTCATCAACACAGTGAGGACTTTGCTGCCTTATTTCACTAGGTTGTTATAACGATTTAACAAGGTAACATTTTTAAATGCTCAGAAAAATAGTAAAGCAATGGAATAATCTGTTCCTAAACTTTATGACTAAAATTATCTTGGAATCCCAAATAAAACCCTATGTGTATTTTGTTCATAGGTTCTAATATGCAAATGTTGTAGTTTTCAGAAAATGTTATTAAGTCCTAATTTTGCTTCTTAGTTGTCCTACTCCTTATGGCTTATACTTCAGGGCATCTCAATGATGTCATAATTTATAACCAAATTTACTCATAAATATCTCATTAAAGTAGATAATGTGATTGTCCACTATTACGAAGTTGATCAATCACACCAAGGGCCGAAGAACCAATGGATGTTAAAACCTGGCTTGGAGCAATGATCCTTTTCTACAGACTCAAACTATGAGCCAGCAGATGTTTGTTAGGATAATGGTTTATATTGATATTCAATTCTAGCTGACATGGAGACCAAAACTCTACCTTTATTTTTTTTAGTTTTCATGAAGAAGTTGCAAGTTGACATTCTCTAATTTTTGACATACATACTAACAATATATTTTGCACCAAATATGGTATTCAGCTCTAAATCATCTCATAGACCATCTTACATGACTATTTTTGCAGTGCAAATCACAATTTTAATATTACAGTGGCACCCATTTTTTGCTTTGATTCACACTGTTTCCTTAGAGCTAGTCAGCAAATAGTCAAATGACCTTCCAGTGACTGCACAAAATATGGAATGCTTTGAAAATTTGTACTGCCTCCTTACACAGAAGCCATGCTAATTTTCTCTGTATTGTTCCAATTTTAGGTATGTGCTGCTGAAGCAAGCACCAAGTCCTACTTTTACACATGATTAGTGATGAGTCATGGACAAGGCTTTGCCCTATTAAGTCTAACTAACCTACTTGAGATTCTGAGAATTCTCTTCAATGGCTTCCTGCGAGGTAGAATTTGAAAATATTTTAAAATCTTGAGCTAGAGATGGAAGTAGCTTGGATGATTTTCATTATCATGTAAATCAGATCATTAAAGGGCCAACCACAACTGGGAGCCAGTGCTTCGGGAAGGTTCATGTGGGACTTTCTACTGCCTAAGGTTCTATACAGGATATAAAGGTGCCGCACAGTACAGATCTGGTAGCAAAGAAGAAGAAACAAACACTGATCTCCTTCTGCCACATTATTTGAATCCCTCTGACCCTTTAGAACAAGCCCAATTAATATCTGCCAGAGAAAAGACCAACAACGGCCTCAAAGGATCTCGTACCATGAAGGTCTCAGCTAATTCTTGGCTAAGATGTGGGTTCCACATTAGGTTCTGAATATGGGGGGAAGGGTCAATTTGCTCACTTTGTGTGCGGATAAAGTCAGGATGCCCAGCTGCCAGAGCAGGGTGCTGGTGCTTTGGGAACAATGGCCAAGCATATAAGCATAGATATGGGAACTGAAAAACGTTGTAACTTCAAAGTCACTGTATGACTCGCTATGAAGACTTGAGGGATCTGAATCAGTAAGGGCATCTTGGTGTCAAAGGTCAACCATTACCAGGAAGCAGGACCAGTTTGAGTGGCAACAATGCAGCAACAGAAACAATAGGATACAACAAAATGATTGGAATGTTCGTTTTTTCTCCTCCTTCTGACTTGATAAAAGGGACTGTCTTCCTTGGATTTAGTGAGCCCCTTCAGTTATTGAAAAATTCAAGGAGTATGTAGGAGATAGTCTCCAGAAGACAGTACAAGATTTTCTGCTAAACTGAACATTTCAAGACCCCAATAACTAATCTGAAAAATCAAAGATGTGACACTACTTTTTATCCCATGCATAGGTGTTATACTTGGATGAAATGAACAATGTTGGGATCGCTAAGGATAAAGGTCTCAGAAGTCCTGAGATGAAGAATCCTGCACCCATTGGTACTTCTAACTTGTCTTGCTTTTGGTCTGATTTCTGGCTGATGCAGGGGACTAACTGACTGCCACTCTAAAACTACCTGAACCAAACTATGACATCTCACTTGATACGTAAGATGCAATTGTTACAATTATTTTAAACCTCAATTTAGCATTAACTCACCTTTTAATGTAAACACTTACACATTATGATGACTAGAAACAGCATAGTCTCTGGCCGTCTGTCCAGATAGATCTTTAGAAGAGACATCAATATTTTGCTCAAGTAGAAGGCTGACTATACTTGCTGATCCACAACGTGCAGCAAGTATGAGAGCATTTCTAAAATGACAGAGATAATTTCTCCCCTAGGAACTGTAATAGTTATTTTAAAAGCTAATTTGATATACTTTACCAATTTAACATCTTGCCTATCCATGCAGAATGAAACATTTACATGCGCTAAATAAGACGTAAGCATCTTGGGTGCTCAAGAGTTCATCTTTGTAAAATACAACCAAGGTTAAAATTAAAAGGAAGGGACAAAAAGGAAACCGCTTGTCTCAGTGGGGTATTGCATAGTAGAAGCTACTAATTTAAAATCCTTTGATGGGCAAGAAACAATGCTAGGGCCACTTATCTGAAGTGGACAAAGTTATGAGTGAAGATTTCCTTACAGCTCCCCTAGACTGATATGCTGTAATAGAAAATCAGCTAGAGGGTAAGATAAGTAAGAGCTCTCTGCTTGCTGAAAGCAGTAATATTAATAATAATGGTAAGAACAGTCATAGGCGTTTCAGTTAATGATGCCAATAAGCATGTGCTAGGCACTGAATTAAATGTCATATATATCTTCCTTACTTATGCACAATCAATTTGAAGGATATATTCTCCTACTTTTCATATATGACAACACATTTGGTGGTAAATAAGATTCTCAAGGTCACACACTTACCAAGTAAGAAAGCTAGGGATTAAACCCAGTCTTGTGTGAATCCAAAGCCTAGCTCTTTTCTCTTTATCACCCACCTACGGCTTGCCTTCATTAAAGGAAAAGTATATCCACTTAAAACTATCTTTACTCTCTCTCTCCAAACCAATTTAAAAAAAACCATCAAAATACACTGGATATAAAAAATGACGAAAGCTGCTGAAACCACAGTATGTAGGAATAGCAATTAATTGTCATGTAGGGATAAGTTAACATTAATATTCTTCAAAGAAAGCAACTTAAAGCAGAGTCATTAAAAAGACAAAAGGATTTTCAACTCCTTATTTATGTTTAATATAGCATATTTAGTAGAAAAGCATACAAGACACAGAGGTTAAAAACTACTAGAAAGGGTTAAGAAGTTCAATACTGAGTCATAAAGTAAACTGAAAGTTAAATTTCAAGCTTCATAAAATTAATATGAAATCCCTTTAGCTAACATAAGATCATGTAACCAAAAACGTCATACAACAAATAACATCAGTCAATATAATAAGATAAGATGACTCCTGCTAAAACTGTTCTTCATGTTCTCCAGTCCAAATAACTGCTTTTCTATTTAACTGATTTGTGTTGATACTGATCACTATGTCCCAATAACTATAACTTAATCTTATTATTATTAATGACTTGAGTGACTATCAATCTAGAACAACACACAGATTAAAAGAAATAACTATACCTTCCATATCTGTCAAGTGCATTTAAATTAGCTTTTTTCTTGATTAAAAATTTCACCACTTGCCGTTTTTGTCCATGTAAGCCAAGCAAAAGTGGTGTGAGGCCATGCTGTAAAACAATATAAAACAAAAACAATATGTAATTCAAAAAATTACGTATTTCTCAAATAAATTGGAAACTTTATATAAGATCCCACGGACTTACACTCATAGAAAGTAAATAAAATGTAGCTGCTTCCATCTCACTCTTCTGTGCTTTCCCATGTGCTGCTGCTTCCCTTGGAAACACCCCTTCGCTGCCTGACCACATCAACTCTGATCATCTCAAAAACTCACTTTCAACATTTACTGCTTCCAAGACTCTTTGCTTCTAACCCAGCATTTGGCATGGCACTTTTGGATGATGATTTTTTTTTCCATTTAAACAAAGAGCTTCTTGAGGGCAGGGGCTGTATCTTTTACCTCTGTATTATCCAACCCTAATACAAAATTGTTTTGTATAAAGCAAGAATTTGAATGTAAAATATTCCTTTCGTTTCACGTTTTACCAAAAGTTCAAGCTCCAATGAGCAAGCAAAATTGCTCTTTCATACTCATACTGCCCATTTCAAGAATTTTTCCAACATTTATTCATTTAAAGTATATTTGTATTTAATTTTTCCAGATTGTTAACTAAATAGATAATCAGTTCACAGGATTACTGAAACTAACAGAATTCCTATCTGTATTCTTAATAACTCCATGGTTTTTGGTGTTTACACCTGCCATCCTGATTATGTCAAAGCTCTACAAACTTAAGAGAGATACTGGACAGTCCATAATACAGCTTCAATTGACAAAAAAGTTTTAGAATTTGCTACAATTCTACTTGAGAAAACTCTGCTCTTAACAACGACTTACTGACCTAAGAAGAATTGAACAAAGAGACACAAAATCCTGAGTGGGCCATCCTCTACTTACGGAGAGACTACTCACTGCAAATTTCTAAAGACCTTCTGAATGGCAGTGAATAACTGATGTAGAAAGGAAAAGGTATTATTCCGTAAGCTGATAGATAGTGCCAATAATATTCATTTTAATGTCTCAACAACAAGATAAGACAGGTGAGGCCAGGAATGGTGGCTCATGCCCATAATCCTAGCATTTTGGGAGGCTGAGGTAGGTGATTTGCTTCAGTCCAGGAGTTCAACATCAGCCTGAGAAACATGGCAAAAACCTCATCTTTACCAAAAAAAAAAATACAAAAACAGAGATTGGAGGACCACCTGAGCTTAGGGAGGTCAAGGCTGTGGTGAGCTGTGATTGCATCACTGCACTCCAGCCTAGGGAAGAGAGTGAGAACCCATCTCAAAAACAAAAAAAAAAGTTAATGTTATTGGAAAGGAAAGATTTAAAGGAATTAGCACATATCCAACTCCAAGTCTTCTAGAAATATCTTAAGTTTCTGAGATATAAGAATTTACATATTATACTTGTGTTTTCAGTGGTTCTTAAGCAGGAGTGTATCCAGATTTTGAGAAATTTGTTGTTGTTGTTGTTAGAAACGGGGTCTCATTATGTTGACCAGGCTAGACTCGACCTCCTGAGCTCAAGCAATACTCCCACCTCAGCCTCCCTAACAGCTGGGACCATAGCCACACACCACCATGCTTGGCTTCAAGGAAACATTTTTAAATGTACATATATAGGATTTATTAGATGTGCTCTATCAAAATCTTCATGGGAAAGCCTAGACTTGCAGATTATTTAAAAATTTTCCTGAGGTAATTGGAATGCACAACTCTAGGTGGAAGCTAGTGCAACAGACAATTACTTCAGTCTCATCTGTCATTCACATAACCAATTCCCTTTATCATTTGAGTATTTGGCCAAAAAGAGGAAAGAGTAGGAGAGACACTCATTTGCTGAAAATGTCACATAATTTTCCCTGGTAAGAGTAGAACAAAGTCTAGTAAACTCAAAATCCAACCTGATCTTGTTACTTACAAACCCCTTATCTCCCACCTTCCCATCAAGATATTCGAGAGTTGAAAGCAGAGTTGAGAGTCTAACTGGCCCTTTCTACCAGAATAGGACAGTAAGTTGGTTAATTACTTGTTATTCCTTCTGTTCAAGGGTTTCCTATTACATTACCACCTATTCACTGCCAATCTGGTTCCTCAGAGGCCTCCTAAAATTGGTATCTAGGCAGTTTACGACTTACTAACTCCCTTTCCCAAACAGAAAACTGTCATTCCCTAAAATGGAAAAGAACCTTGTCTCATCATAC